AGTGGGCAATTCCCTTTTTACCTTTTACCTTCATCCACTACTCATCGCTTTTGGGATATTTTCCGTTTTCTTATAAGTCACAACTAGCCTCTTACTTATAAATAATGGAAGGGCTTGTACGCCAAAGGGGTAGTATCAAAGCCAGCTTGACAAATTTGGTTAAATATGTTTCTAATTTGCTAAGAAACGATGAAATTCTCCCAGAGAACGTTTTTGATTTGCAAGAAAGATTAAATAGTTTAGAATGTAGCATGCTGCAAAGATTTGCTGATATACAGGATAAAATAGATAGAGATTGTGATGAAACTGAATTGGAAAATGAATATGATGAGAGGTGTGAATTTGAGAATAAATACTATAAAGTTTTAGCTACAGCAAAAAACATTTTGGCCAATAACAAAAAGTTATTGGGAGTAACGAATGATGATTCCTCATCAGCAAGCAGCCCAGAGGGCAGAGCAGTTAGTGCAGGTTGCATTAAGCAGGACTTGCAACTCCCAATAATTAATTTGCCAAGTTTTGATGGTTCACTGCAAAATTGGTTGGAGTTCAGAGATGTCTATGAATCTCTGATTCACAAAAATGAGTGAATTACAGACATTCAGAGATTTCATTACCTTAGAGCCTCTTTGAAGCTGGAACCAGCAGAAATTGTTAGGAATCTTACATTTTGTGCGGATAATTATGTCGTAGCTTGGGAAATGCTCTGTGACAGATACAATAATGACAGAAATTTGATACACAATCATGTCAAGAACCTTTTCAATATGAATGTTCTAACTGTTGAGTCAGCCAATGGTATCAGGAGTTTATTGAACTGTTTGACAAAAAACATAAGAGCATTATCCAGGCTTCAACTTCCTACTGATTCATGGGATGTTCTCATTATTTACCAAATGAGCACAAAGCTTGATAGCCGCACATCTCGTGAATGGGAAACTTTTAGACTAAAACAAAAAAGTATTCCTACGTTACAGGATTTTAAAAACTTTTTGATTTCACGAGCAGAAATTCTTGAGACTCTTGAGCAGAAGCGCAATCACAGTGTAGGGAATAAACAATATATGAATAAAAAACAAGAATCACGTGGTTTAGTTGTGATGGAAAACAAAGAAAAGTCATCACAATGTTATATGTGTAAAGGGTCACATTATATTCAGAGTTGTCCTGAGTTTTTGAAAACCGCTATTGAGAAGCGAGCTGAAACTATAATCGGTTTGAAAATGTGCTTGAATTGTCTGCGTGGGGGGCATTTTAGCAGACAGTGTCGCCGTCCTCCATGTAAGAAATGTAACAAAAAACATGATGTTCTTTTGCGTATTGAGAAAGTTAACAATGCTACAGGTGAGTCTGACACCTTAAATGTGGATGAGCAAGAAAACAACGTTAATATGTCAGTTGTTCATGCAGCCCAAAGTAAGCATAGTGACGTTCTATTGTCTACAGTTTGTGTAAAAGTGATTGATAAAGCTAATAATGTTCACTATGTTAGAGCAATTTTAGATAGTGGCTCACAGTCCAGTTTTATAACAGAAGAGCTTTGTAGGGTCTTGCAATTGCCATATGAAAAAATAAATTTTGCAATTAATGGAATTAATAATATCCAAACTGATATAAAGCGGATATGTACTTTAAAGTTATACTCTAATTTAGATAGTTTCTCCACATATTTGAAGTGTTATGTGTTGCCTACCATAACGGGCGTTTTGCCCAAGTATAAATTGGATGTTGACCATTTAAACATACCAGATCACCTTGAGTTGGCTGATCCCAAATTTGCGGAACCACAAAGGGTTGATTTGCTTATTGGCTCAGATATGTTTTGGAGTTTAATTATTGATGGCCAAATAAAGCTTGCTAAAAATAAGCCAGTCCTACAAAACTCTAAATTTGGGTGGCTAGTTTCAGGACCTGTAGGTCATTTGCATGAAAATAATCACAAACAGGCTACCTATTGTAATTTTGTAAGGGCTTTGGAGCCTATAAATAATGAAGTAAATATTCAAAAGGATTTAAGCCGGTTTTGGGAAATTGAAGAGCTAGCACCAGCAAAGAAAATATTTTCGGAAGAAGAATTGGCTTGCGAAAAGCATTTTATTGATAACACTAAGCGAAGTTGCAAAGGTGAGTTTATAGTGAAGATTCCTTTTAAAATTGATGTCGCTAATTTAGGAAATTCATTTAATCAGGCCAAGGCTCGGTTTCTAAATTTGGAGAAAAGATTAAATAAAAATTCTAAGCTCAAGCAACTATATGATGATTTTATGAGGGAATACATAGACCTGGGGCATATGTCTAAAGTTGTAAAAGAATCTCAAGCAGATGAAGTGGCGTATTACATGAGTCATCATGGTGTTTATAGGGAAGATTCTCTGTCTACTAAACTCAGAGTTGTTTTTGATGGATCTATGCCTAGCTCTACAGGTTATTCTCTCAATAATTTGCAAATGGTTGGGCCAACAATCCAAGCAGATTTATTCACAATATTGACAAGATTTCGGAAACATAATATAGTCATTGCAGCAGATGTTGCTAAAATGTATAGGTGTGTTTTATTAGCTGAAAATGATAGGAAATTGCATAGAATTTTATGGCGCTTTAATGAAGATGAGCCATTAGAGGTGTATGAATTGAACACAGTTACATATGGGACTGCTTCAGCATCTTTCCTGGCCATTCGCTGTTTATTTCAATTAGCAATTGAAAATGAAAAGACTCATCCTGATATCGCTCAAATCATCCGCAATGACATGTATGTGGATGATTTATTGACAGGGACGGACACGGTTGAGAATGCTTCTAGAATATCGGCCACCATTTTTGAAATATTGAAGCAAGGATGTTTCAGTTTGCGAAAATATTATTCCAATGTGTCTGAAGTGCTCGATTGGCTACCCAATAATGATGGACTTGCAAAAATTGTTGATTTTAATGATCATGGAACAGCAAAAACCTTGGGTCTGATCTGGTGTCCCAGTTCAGATAAATTAATGTATGACGTGAAATGCCTACCTGAAAGCAATCCTGTAACAAAAAGGGTTATTTTGTCTGGCTCTTCAAAAATATTTGATCCACTTGGTTTGATCAGTCCGTGTATTATTTTAGTTAAAATACTTTTACAACTGTTATGGTTAGAAAAGTTAGAGTGGGATGACCCTGTACCTGGTCATATTGAAGCCAAGTGGAATGAATTCAAGTGTAGAGTTTTAGAATTGAATGGATTTGAAATAAATCGACATGTTTTTTGCACTGATCTGTCCTACCTTGAGCTACATATATTTTGCGATTCATCTGAAAAGGCTTATGGAAGATGTATATATGTAAAATCGGTTGATGAATTTGGAAATTGTTTTGTTAATTTGCTGACCGCAAAGGGAAAAGTAGCTCCCTTGAAAACCATCACCATTCCTCGTTTAGAGCTTTGTGGAGCTCTGACAGCGGCGCGGTTGGCTGCCAAGGTTTGTAAAGCCATGAATTTAGATAATGTAACACGCTACTTTTGGACTGACTCTACAATTGTATTGGGATGGCTTAAATCTCCTCCAAATAAATTAAAAACATTTGTTAGCAATCGAGTAGCGGAAATTCAAGATTTAACAGGTTCTGCTATATGGAATCATGTGCCAAGCGAGCACAATCCAGCCGATTTATTGTCTAGAGGCATGAGCCCTTCAGAAATTAAAAATTCTGAGCTCTGGTGGCATGGGGCTGATTTTTTAAAGTTTGATTCTATTCATTGGCCAAAAAATCCTTGTCATTTAAATGAAACGCTTCCTGATCTCAAAAGAAACAGTACTGTGCTGACGGTGATAAAGAAAGAAAAATGTGAGCTTTTTGAAAAATGGTCTGATTGGTCTAAGTTAAATCGGGTTACTGCATGGATATTTAGATTTTATAGAAATTGTAGAGAAAAGGTAGATAATAGAAAGGTAGGCATGCTTACTACAGCAGAAGTGAACCTTGCAATAGACAAACTAGTAAAGCTTGCGCAACAAGAATCTTTTGAGAAGGAAATTCAAAAAATTGCAAATGAAAATAATGCAGCCTTAGTTGGTAGACTTGCCTCTTTAAACCCTTTCATCGATAATCAAGGCTTGTTAAGAGTTGGAGGTAGATTGTCAAATGCCAAATATAGCTTTGAAAAGAGACATCCTTTAATTTTATCCAAGAACCACATTCTTAGCGAGTTGATCGCCAGACAGCAACATTCGAAATTACTGCATGCTGGACCACACCACCTTTTAGCCTCATTACGGGATAAGTTTTGGATCGTTGCAGGCCGTTCCTTAGTCAAAAAGGTTGTTAGAAATTGTATAACATGTTTTCGTTTCAATCCTAAGTTGTCCAATCCCATAATGGGAAATTTGCCTGAAGAAAGGCTGCAACCCACTCATCCATTTGATGTTGTTGGAGTGGACTATGGAGGTCCATACCTGATAAAAAATAAAGCTGGTAGAGGAGCTAAGGTGGTGAAATCTTATATAGCGCTATTTGTCTGTTTTTTAACCAAAGCTGTTCATATAGAACTAGTTACAGATCTGTCAAAAGATACGTTTATGTTGGCTTTGCGTAGATTTATCTCTAGAAGAGGAAAGCCTTCCTGCATATTCTCCGATAACGCAACCAATTTTGTAGCAGCCAAGTCCGAACTGAAAGATTTATATAAGTTTTTTAATGCAAGCTACAATGAGCTGATCAGTGCCTGCAATAAGGAATCTATTATTTGGAAATTTATACCACCTCAGTCACCGCATTTTGGAGGGCTCTGGGAGGCTGGCATAAAAAGCATGAAACATCACATAAAAAGAGATGTTGGGAATTTATGTTTTACATTTGAGCATTTTTATACTTTACTTGTCGAAATTGAAGCGATTATGAACTCCCGACCCCTTTCACCCCTCTCTGATAGTCCTCATGATTTATGTCCTTTGACTCCTGCCCACTTTCTACTGCCACATGAAAGCCGTAGTATACCAGATGTCGACCTGCGTCAGACTCCCATGAATCGCCTGAAAGTTTATCAGCAGCTCCAGAGAATAAAGCAGCATATTTGGGCAAGATGGAGTAAGGAGTACGTGTCTGAGCTTCAGCAGAGGTGCAAGTGGAAAAGTACGCAGAGCCAATTACAAGAGGGATCCTTGGTGCTTGTCAAGGATGACAATCAGCCGCCGATGTGTTGGAGATTGGGCCGTGTAACCAGCCTGTATCCTGGAAGTGATGGAGTGAATCGTGTCGCCTCGGTGAAGACTCAAAGTGGCTTAGTGAAGCGCTCATTCGCTAAATTGTGCCCGTTGCCAATTTCTTAACGGACAAATTTTTTCAGACTTTTGCATATTTTCTTTGAAAGGGGATCCTTTCAAGGCCGGGGGCATGTTAAGGACTTGTATGTTGTTTGTTGAATTTTGTAGAATGTTGGAATTTTATTTGGCAACCGCGCCAAACCTTTTCACAGTGGCAACGCCGCAAATGAACTTGATGCTGACCGCGCGGAAAAACTCGTAACTATAGAGACATAATATTAAAAAATGTACTGACGTTTCCTAAAAAATAAAGTAAAAAAGCTTATTGAATGTGTTCAATATTTGGAAAGAAAAATAAGCTTATTAACAGGCCCGTTCAATTGTTTTGTTTTGAGATCTCTCTTTTGATTCAGAATTCGGTAATTCCTTAAAACCGGACCACATATCCATTGTTTTTTCGGAAGACAGTATACAATCGTTATATTCAATTTCAACAAAAAATATTAATACTTAAATAAATACAATAACATCGGCAACCTCAAACCTTCATTTAATTTTCAAGTTCAAATGAACTACTCCAAACGAACGACTCACTAAAGAGAGATGAACCAAATCAGCGAGCTCAGAGAAATGACTCGTATGTCTCAAGCCTACTGATAACAAAATGTTTGTAGTTTGGTCAGTTTGGTGCACAAAACATATTTTGGAGAAGGTTACATTCCATGCTATTCAAGGATAACACGGCTAACTTATGTCTTGTCAGCGGCTATTTTGCCAGATTGTGCATTAATGCCTCGCAACGTTGCCAGCTCAACCTATACATATGAGATTGCTATACTTCTATAACCTATACTATATGTATAGAAATTTGGTGGGATACATGTGTTATTAACATTTTGCGCTATCTTGACGAAACAGTGAGTTTTGTATGTTAAAATAGCAATGTCAATAACAAAAGCTCTTATAAGGTCACTCCTATCTACTTAGTAATCTAGAAAGGTTCAGAATAAAAGCATATATTGCAAATATCTCAATATATATATATATATATATATATATAACTTGAGACGTGGTCATTGTCGTCTAGACCAGTTAGGTGAAAAATTAAAGCTTCCGCCTTTTGTTGGGTACTTCGACAAAATTTAAGCAAATAGGACTCTTTATACTTTTTTTAATTCTCTCTAGCTTTCAATGGACTTTGCCATCATCATCAGGAGCTGCAATTACAATGATAACAGTAGCAACAAAAGTGTAAAATGAATTTAAATTGAATCAACTTACAGTAGTATGTGAGGATGTTGCTAATTGTTGTTTTCGTATAGGATGAGGGAAACGTCCAGTAACATGGTGAGAGCTGGATACATGGTACAATGGTTAAAATTATATAAAATATGACAAGACAAGTTAAAGACATATTGAAAATTATTTAGAAAACATTTGAGCATTACGTCGTGAAGCCACTTGATGATTGCACAAAATGGTGGTTATGGAATAATGAGTGAGATGAACCTTTGACAGAAGGCCGAAGGTTGTCAATGTCTGTGTTGAAAGATGGAACGAATTGTGGGCGTGTGCCAAAACGTTGCCAAATCACTTCAGATGATGTGATTTTCAGAATGTTATGTAAGAAATTGTTAAACCGACCAGAGGCAGTTGAATAAACTATATTTTAATTAATGGGAATTTTAAATTAACAATTATTAATAAATCGTGAGAAGAGAATTATTAGATTTTGAGTGGAATGAAATTTGTTGGTGGAATCGGCCAAAACACAGATTATATTTATGGTTGTGAAAAGACGAAAGTTGGGGAGATATGTAAGTTCTCCAATTTGCTAAACTGCGAAAAATTGGAGAACTTACATATCTCCCCAAATTTCGTCTTTTCACAACCATAAATATAATCTGTGTTTTGGCCGATTCCACCAACAAATTTCATTCCACTCAAAATCTAATAATTCTCTTCTCACGATTTATTAATAATTGTTAATTTAAAATTCCCTTTAATTAAAATATAGTTTATTCAACTGCCTCTGGTCGGTTTAACAATTTCTTACATAACATTCTGAAAGTCACATCATCTGAAGTGATTTGGCAACCTTTTGGCATACGCCCACAATTCGTCCTCTTTGCTTAAATTTTGTCGAAGTACCCAACAAAAGGCGGAAGCTTTAATTTTTCACCTATATATATATATATAACGTGAGCAGTAGTCATTGGCATTGCCAACGACCAGTTGGGCAAAAAATACAATTAATTGTTAATTGGGAAAAAGTTTGCCAATTTCCCCAATTAAGCTATAATTGTATATATACAGCTATATATATAGTAAAAATATCTATGAACACTAGTTGGAATGGTTTGTTACTGAAAAAAGGGCCTTGGATTGGTTCTTTGTAAGGTTTTCGTTTGTATTTAGCTTTTAAACAGATTTCGCATTTATTAATGATGTCAGTTATAAGGTCTTTAAGTTTTGGTGTATAGTGAGTCTTGTGGAAATGAGAATAAGTTTCATTAATTCCGTTGTGAAATTTATGATGGTACAAAGTTATTTCGTCTTTCATTTCTTGTTTGTCTAAATAAATTGGTTTAAATGCAGCTTTTTCTAGTACAATATGTTTTGCAGAAAAAGATTGTGTCATAATTTTACTAAGTATGGGCAAAAGTTTCTGATCGTCGTACCAAATTCCATATTTAATACCAGCAGTACAATAATTTTTATACAATCCAAGATAAATGAGGAACATAAGTGATTAATTAAAGAGCACCTTAGTGTCTTATTCGGAAGTAATTTGATCTTGTTTTTCTTTTTACCTGTTATAAATTCAATTCGGTGGGGATAGGCATAAAAGTGTTTGTCTGAAAATTTAATCGAGTTTGGGTTTGATTCAGGCGAAGTGTGTCTCGTGTTAGTTGATCTGTTGTCTGTTTCGTGAATAGTCATTTCTGATTCGGGTGCGTTAGGGATCATTGATTCGGTTTCGAGATAATCCTGAACATTTATCTGGATTCGGCTTAAGGCGTCAGCAACTAAATTTGTTTTGCCTTTTTTGTATTTGATTTCGAAATCGTATTCCTCAAGTTTGATTTTCCATCTAATTAATCTCTGGTTTGGTTCTTTCAAATTTGATAACCACACCAAAGGTTTATGATCAGTCTCAATCAGAAATCTATGTCCAAATAAATATGGTCTAAAGTGTTTGCATCAATCAATCATGGCTAAGAGTTCTTTTTCAATGGTGGAATAATTTCGTTCAGCAGAGTTTAATGTTCTTGAATGAAAACTGATAGGTCTTCCGTCTTGTGATAGAACACTTCCTATCGCAATATTTGAGGCGTCGGTTGTTAACGTGAACGTTTTTGAAAAATCAGGGTATTGGTGTACGGGTGAATTAGTGATAGTCTTTCTTATTACATCAACAGCTTGAATGTAATCAGGATCTGAAATGTTGATTTTGTCGTCTTTCTTTAAACATTTAGTGAAAGGTTTGGTAATTTTGGCAAAGTCTTTTCTGTAATAGTTGCTTAATCCTAAAAATGATTGAATTTGTTTGATAGTTTTTGGTATTGGAAAATCTTGAATGCATCTGATTTTATCCGGATTTGGTTTAATTCCGTTTGGCGTTATTACATGTCCCAGAAATGGAACGTCTGTTCTTAGGAACTCTCTTTTGTCAAGTTGTATTTTCAATTGATGTTTAATTAAAGCTTGAAATATAGATTTCAAATGAATAAGGTGGTCTTGCAATGATTTTGAGAAAATTATTATGTCATCTAAATAGACCAAACATATTTTTCCGATGTAAGGTTTTAAAACAAAATTCATCATTCTTTGGAATGTTGCTGGAGCGTTTTTCAGTCCGAAGGGCATTCGTAAGTATTCATAGTGCCAGTTGTCGACGGTGAAGGCAGCTTTTTCAATTGAGTCTTTGTGCATAGGAATCTGATGGAATCCTTGTGCCAGATCTAACGTTGAAAAATATTTGGCTTTGCCTAAACTCTCTAATATTTCTTCAGTTCGGGGCAAAGGATATTTATCTTCGATAGTAATGTCATTTAGTTTACGAAAATCGATTACCATGCGATATTTTTTAACGCCGGAAGCGTCAGGCTTCTTATTTATGATCAATACAGGTGATGAGTACGGACTTGTACTGGGACGGATGATGTCATCTTGCAAAAGTTTAGCGACTTGTTTCTGAATTTCGGTTTTTAAATAGACTGGATAGCGAGAAGATTTTACAAATATTGGATCGTCGTGTTTTGTTCTGATAGAATGAGGTGTTACGGTACATGGCTCTAATTTTTCGTTAGGTTTTAGAAAAGCTTCAGGAAATTTTCTACAAAGTTCTGTTATCTTGTATTTTTCTTGGTCATTCATGTGATCAGTTCTTATTAAAGTTCCAATATAAGTTAAATTATATTCATTCTGGGGTGTTTCAATGTCGTAATTATCCAAATTGTCGTATTTGATGCATTGATAGTTTAAATCTAATATATTTGGATTTTCTGGGTATAGTACTTCGTAATTATTAACGGTACAAATCATTTCGGGTGTGTAATCGTTAGAATTTAGATATTTAATAGGTGGAACGATAATTTGTCCATTTTTGATAGGGGATTTTAGAACTTGATTTTTGATTACAGTGTTCGGGACTTTACGTGGTATTTTGTCAGTGTGGCAAATAAAGTTTAAACGATCAATGGATAGCAAATTCTTAGATGTTTGTAAAGTAGCTTGAAATTTTTGTAGATCATAATATCCTAGCAAACAGTCAAAACGTTCGTGCCAGTCTAAAATGAGAAATTCAATTTCAGTGTTAATGCCATGTTCATTGAACAAAGGAATTCGCAAAGCGTATTCACCGTGTTTAGTACCAATGACAGATTTTATTGAAAAGTGTTTTGGATAAATGTAATCTGGAAAATAATTGAAAGCAATTTGAGTGTTGATCAAAGAGACAGATGCACCAGTGTCTATAAGAACTAGCAAATCTAAATTTTGTAAATAAATGTATGGCAAATGTGTGTTCTCATAATTATTGAGATCTAAGTCAATGGGTTTTG